CTAACATCTCAGAATTCTGAGCCTAGACTAGTGGTGTTCAATCCCAGCTGTGCACTGGGATCACCTGGGGACATTTTTAAAAGCCTAGGCCTCAGCCACACAGACTGTGTCAGAATTTCTGGGGTGTGGCCTGAGCATTAATACTTTTCAACGCTCCCCTAGTCACTTCCATGTGCATTCAAGGGCTGCCCCAGCCCCAAATCAATGCCAACAGCCTCAGATGGATATTTGGGGAAACAGGGAAGCCTGTGTGGCTCAGAGAACTCACTCGTCCTCTCCGGGTCTTAATTTCCTAAGCTGCAAAGAGGGTGCATCGAACTAGGTCACACGGCGAGGTGACGGCAACCCAGCCCTAGAACCCAAGCCTCCTTCCTGAACCTGAGCCAATTTTTCTCCTGAGGTTGCATCTCCTTTTACAAACCAGAGCCCCGGCAGGCAATGCCCACAATATTTCACTTTAATAATATCGGAACTGGTACAGTCAGGGCCACCACAGTGCTGGGGCGGGAACTGAGATGGCGATTAGCAGAGCCGTAAGTCTCTCCCTTTATCCAAATCTTGGGCAGTAATTTAGGAAATTTAATTAAAGGGGGAGAAATGGGGACACCTCAAGCTCCTTGCCTCCTGTTATAATGAGTGAAATACACCAGGCTGTAAAAGGAAATGCTGTCTGAGACGCACTCCGATGTTTTATTGCCAAGTTTTATTCACTGATGTAAACGTAATCGCTGGAAACTGGAGCTCTATTAATGCACATATTTTCACACATCTGGGCCCCGCCTGCCTGCCCCCTCTGGGCTTGTTCCCCCACCTCCCAGGGTCAGCTCTGGTGTTTTCCGGGCAGGTCTATACCAAGTCTGGCTTCCCCTGCTGGTTTCAGTCCTCCCATGGCAGATAAGAGTTTAATAGGATTCCATTGCTCCTCTGAGCTCAGTAATACATTCTGGAAATTAGGCAGCTACATACTGAAGCCATTGTTCCCCCTTATAAATGGGTTCCCTCGAAGCCAGTGACCGAGGGGTCTCTGATAAGCTCCTATGAAGCCGTGCTCCACATGTTATTGGTGTGTTAAAAGGTGCAACTCTGGGCTCACATTGCTCATTGTTAGGGGCTGATACATTTAAGTAGTTTCTCCATGAATCAGGCAGCTTAGGTATTTCCCCCATCTTGGCATTGATAGATGAGCAAAAGGAAGCCATTTAGACGGCACTATATAGGGTGCTGGCCCACACGGTGAATGATTTCCAATGCCTGGTTTAATTTATTTTTAAATGAAATTTGCTATTGATTCTGGATTAAAAGGACAAATCTTACGGCTGTTACCACTGACAGAGCCGTGGCGCTCAAGTGACACCTCTCAAGGAGGGAAGGGAGGGTGGCCTCCCTGAGTCAGGGGAGGGTGTGGACTCTCCAGGGAGCTTGGGTCAGAGGAGGGGACAGTGTGAGATCCCCTGCTTGGGGGGGGGGGGGCACTTTAAAAAGATCATCTTTCCTGACAGAAATGCTTGACATGATGTTCGCCTTCTGAGCTTCATTTGGGTAATGGAAATAGCAGTGATATTTGCCTCCTGGTATCCACGAGACCACTGGATGCTTGTTTAATTGCCGCCAGGGACGGGAAGCTTACTACCTCCTGGAGCGTTCCCCGAGTGAAATGAGTGACAAGAGTCACCCACCCTGGTGAATTCCCAGAGACCATTTTCCAGGATAGCCTGTGTTTACCACCAGCCTCCACTAGGCTCCCAGCTTCCACAGTGCCTGCAGTTGGCACTTGGATCAGTGAAGCAGAAAAGAGACAGGATGACACAGGGGAGGAATATGGGCCGAGGACTCATCCTGTCACATCCAGCTTCTGCCCCACCTCATTGTGCAACCTGCGCTGGATCATGGATGTGAATGTGCTTTACAAACTGTAAAGAGCAATGTAGGAAATTGCATAGGAAATGCATATGGGACAGAATGGTATAGCGGGGGAGCCGTGAACTGGGAGGCAGAGGACTTGGATCTAGTTTTGTCATGGTTGGCTGCGTAACTCTGAGGAATTCACTCATCCTCTCTGGGTCTTAATTTCCTACGCTTCAAAGGGGTACATTGAACTAGATGTGCTTAGGTATTATGCCTAAGAGCATGTGCCCTGCAGTCAAACATATTATGCCTCTACAACTGTCTTGCTTTGTGACATTGGATAAGATTCTTAACCTCTCTGAGCATGTTTCCTTACCTATTAATAATAATAGCCAACATGTATCATGTATTTGCTATGTGTCAGGCTGTTCTAAGACCTTTCCATGTAGCAAGTCATTTTAATCTTCATAATAATCATGCGACAGAGGCATTATTATCTCAGTTTTACAGATGACAAGCTCAGGCACAGAAAGGCGAAGTAACTTGTTTAAGGTCACATAGCTAGCAAGTGGCAGGATTTAAAACTAGAGTCCACACTTATAATCACACTATTCTACTCTATATGACCTGGTTGTTCTGAAGTATAAGTGAGATAAAGTTCTTAGCATAGTGCTGGGTAGACAGCGATGGACCAATAGAGGCCTGGGGACTAGGAGAAGGCAGCAGGCATTACTTTCTGTGAAAGACTCAGGCTGGACCGTGGCCAATGGGGACTCAGCTAGATAGGAGAGAAAGCATGCATGCAAGCAGAGGGGAAGTACCGGGAAGGGTAAGGACATGCTGAAGTTAGGGCATGTTCACGGAGGGAACATGGATGGAATTGTGCCTGGAGCAGAAGGTATATTCAGGAGGTGAGGCTGGAACCTTGAATGCAAACTAAAGAAGTCAGGATTTCTCAAATAAACAAGGCCATTGGAGGGTTTTGAGCCAAGCCATTACAGCATGAGCCTTTTCAAAGTCATAAAATCCCTGGAGGTCTGTCCTTGAAGGAATCTTAGAGGTTACTGGGTTTAGCCCTGTCCCAGACTGTGAGGAGAAAGGACTCCTGAAGGTCAGCTGGGGGGTTACTGGCAGAGCAGCAGTGTTCCCCGGCCTCCTTCCTCTGCAGCCCCCAGGCAATCACTTGTTTTCTCTGCTCTCTTCTAATCTCCTCTCTCTCCCTGTCTTCTTTCTTGATAACACCCCTCACCCCCAATCTGTGGTTTGTGAGAAGAAAGCCCTGAATTTGAGCGCCAGTTTTGCCACCACTTTTTTCTGGAAAGATCTCAGGCTGGAATTAAAAGAGTCCTAGGTTTCAGACTCGGCACTGCTACGTGATCTTCAAGATTCTTAGTTTCTTCATCTTTATAATGGGGGCGATGGAGTCCTTTGCATTGGGAGCGGGGCTCAGATGAATTAATGAATGAAAACACGCTTTTGTAGAATCCATGACACTTCTGTGTGGGAAGGAAGCGATTAGTAAATCAATTCGGAAAAACAAACAACAACAGCAACAAAACCGGCCATTTCCTGTGGTGAATGCAGGCCCCAGAAGCTGGTTAAAAGGGGCCAGGATCTGTCTATGGTGCTGAAACAGCGCTGCGCCGCTGGTCCTGTGGGGGCTGTCAGTTGTGTTGAAACATTACTTGGAAGTGCACGACACTTCAGGAGGATGGCTAGTTTTGAATGAACTGGATCTTTGCTGGCGGCCACAGGCCCCATGTGGCGTGCTGCCCGCCCTAATATTAGAAGGGAGAGTGAGAGGACAGAGTAAAGACAGAGCGGTGGGGGGGGGGCTGTCCCTAGGGCTCTAACCCCATTCTCAAACTTGGGGCGCTGTCCACAATGCTATCTATCCACAGGATACTCCTGTGATCTGGAAGGGAGAGCGGGGCCATCTGCGGTGCTGAACTCCGCGAGGGCTGGTGGGGAAATCGCTAGCTCTGTCCACGGTGCTGAATTCTCGCGTCTAAGAGCGGGCCGAGGCGCAGTACAGTCCGTGAGGCCTAAAGAGGCTGGTTGCCGGGGGCGCTGTCCTCTCCGTGGTGCTGAAACCTCAGCAGAGCCGCCTGGAAAAGGACAAAGGATGAGAGAAGGAGGGACCTACCTGGGCGTCAGCGACCTCGCCCCAGACTCACCGTGGGACCTCGGAGGAGACACTTCTCTAATTTAATGTGCTTCCTCATCGTTTAGATGGGGCCATAAGTCCACCCTTGTGTCTGTACTGAAAGTCTCTCCCAACAGCCCCAGTAAACCCGTCAGGGAAGGGATCAGAGGATCTAGTTGGATTCCTGCTCTTGTGAATGAGCGTGGCTTCGCTAGCTATCCCCTCCCCCCGCCCTAATATTCCATTAGGCCGGTCGTGCTAGGAAGGGAGCCCCAGAGTCCAGAAGGGAGTGATCCAGTCCACTGCACTGAGTCCAGCAACTCCGTTAGAAGGAGCCCCAGCAGCTAGCCCACCTCACTCCCATTATACAGACACGAAAACTGAGTCCCAGGGAGGGGAACAACAACAATAATAACTCTTGAGCTCCTACCATGACGGTGGCGTTATGCTAAGTGCTTTAGACACACGTTTTCGTAAATCCTCACCACGACCTCTGGAGGTAGCTATTATTTCCATGTCTCAGATGAAGACCAAGAGATTCAGACAGGGTTGGACACCCGGACATGATCACACAGGATTCCAAAGGCTGCGGCAGGACTATAACCAGGTCCCTTGGGCTCTAGCCCTGATTTCTACCCTCCTCACTGTCACCTCCACCCCGACCTGCCCCCCTGACCCGGCACCTTTCTGCTAGCAAAGTTGAGGAGTCCCTCTCTGCGCGCTGGGTCTGGCGGCAGGTGGATTGGATTCCTTTCTTATCCCGCTGGCTAGTATTTCTGCTTCTGAAGCCAGTGGTTTTATGTTTTGAGGGAACCGGGTTTCTGGGGTGGCTTCCTCCACCCCATCCCGCCCCCTACCTGTGCTCTCGGGCGGGGAAGTTGAGGGTACCGCTTTAAAAATTCCAGCCTGGGCAAAACTTTGATGATAAATCAAGCGGCAGATCCCTCCGCCACCGCCTCCTCGGGGCGGGCGGGAGGAGTGGGAAGGAGGGGGTGCGGCGGCAAGCCGCGCACAGTGGCCTTCCGCGGAAGGGAAGAGTCCCGCAGTCGGAGGCGGCCGGTTGGGCGTGCGCTCGCTACCAGCAGCTGGGGCTGGGCCGGAGCCCGGCGAGGGCTGGAGCCGGGTCGGGCCGGGTTCATCGGGCAAGAGGCAGAGGTTGCAGCCGGGCAGCCAGGCCGCATCCGGCAGGGGACGGCGGGCGCAGGGTCTGCGGTCTCCTGAGCCCCGATGTGAGGCGGCGGCGCCCCTGGCCCGAGCGCGCACCATGGGAGCCCCGCTCGCGGTGGCGCTGGGCGCCCTCCACTACCTGGCACTTTTCCTGCAACTCGGCGGCGCCACGCGGCCCGCCGGCCACGCGCCCTGGGACAACCACGTCTCCGGCCACGGTGAGTTCGTCGCCGCCCCCGCGGACTTCCCCCACCAAACCCCACCCTGGCTGCGCGCTCCAACTTGGCGCTCCCCAGGCTCGAACCCGCACTCCCCGTGGCGGGAGTCCCGAGGCGCCCTCTGCCGGGTCCACGGACCTGCCCTCCTCCCCCCCACCCCGCACTCTGGCCACCCCGTGCGCACCCGGGATCCGGCTCTTTCGGAGAGCCCCTTCCTCCCGCCCCCCCCCCTCCCCCCCGCCACACACACCCACTCTCGCTGATACACACACCTCCACGATCTCCACGATTCACAGCCACGGGCAAGCTAACAGCCATACTCACTGCTTTCTCACACTCACAACACCTACCCTCACACATCTCCACACACCTTCTCAGTTCCCCTCCTCACTCATAAGCACTCACACTTATGCCCACCACACACACACCCATCAGACACTGTGCTGCTGGGCTCACACCCTGCCAGCTGGCATTCGGGCTCACACACTCTGCACAACTCTTGCCTGCCCGCCCGCAGACATACTGGCAAATACACATACACACTTGTGAACACACTTTGCTCACCCACCTCTCCCTGCCCATCTGCCTTTCCCCTTTGTGGGTTTAACCCCACAGCTGCCCTTGTCCCCTCCCTCTCTGCACTGGTCCCTTATGCCTTGGGAAATGTGGGGAGGGTGAGACTCTGCCTCCAGAGCACTGGGAGCCTGGGCTGCATCTGCCCCTGTGGGGTGGGTGCATCCCAGGGACGGAGGCTTGGTGGGAGCCCCTCAAAGACACTGGAATAGTTGGGATCGTTGCTTCCAGCCAAAGGCATAGAAGAGGGAAAAGGATACCAGATGTTCCCCTGCCATCCCTCTATAGGGTACCACGACTCACCATTATCCTCTGCTTCCGAGGACTGAAATGTGGGAAATCTCAACTCCAGCCGTGGGAGCTGGGGAGCAAGCATTCCCAGCACTAGTTGCCTAAGTGCCAGAGCTCATCTCGCCCCAGAGGAATCCAAGTTGGCAGCAGAGTTAGATCATCTAAGACGGCAGCTGTGGGGGCCCCTGTCCGCTGTGAGCCAGGCTGTTGTATGGGGTGGGGGGAGAGACCAGGGCGCAGGTAAAATGGAGACCCTTCCTCCATCCACTCCTTCCCTGCAGAGGCCCCCAATCTGGCGGGGGAAGCTGCAGCACCAGTGCTGGGCACTGTATGCCCAGGGCTGGGGGGAGGTTTGCACAAAAGGCAGCGAACTGGGTGATTTATTCTTATGGGAAAGAGTAAGCTCTGGGACGGGTGGGGGCGTGGGGGTGGGGGTAGATGATGAGAGACGCTTTGGCTGGACTGGGGTGTGACGGATAAGTGGGATTCTCCAGAGGGTGTGGGGCTTCCCAAGCTCTTCTTGGGGTCTCTCTTTTTGACAGCTCTGACTCCCTGCACCCTCTCTGCCTTAGCACGTTTGACAGTGACTGCTGTGTGTGTCGTTTGTGCACCCTTCACATCCCTCATCTAATTTCTACTGATCTGTTTGGAGCAGTGGTAAATAGGAGAATGGTTATTCTAATCCTCAATTACAGATGGAGAAGCCAAGGCTCAGAGAGGAGACGGGACTTGCCCAAGGTCACACAGTGAATGAGTGGCTGAGCTGGGACTGGCCTCAGGGTCTGCCGGAAAAGACAGCGCTTTTTCCAGGACATCCATCTCCCTGTCAGATTCCCTCCCATTCAAGGGAACCTGGGAATTCCTCCTTCCGCTCCCCTCCTTCCTCCGCTCATTTCCTTGGCAAGGTTGAAACTTCCTCTGGGAGGGTTTTCCAAGGAAGGGCTTTCCTGAGTTTGCAGTCCCGAGAGATCTGAGGACTGGGGCTCTGAGGGTGATGGTCACCTGTCCCTGGAGCACCAGACCCCAAGGATCTGGGTGCCACTCTCACTCCTGAGTTCAGGAGGCGGTCCTCTGTAGGGAAGCAGGATTTGTCCTTTGTGTGGCACTTTCCACTGGTGCCAGGTGTGCTTAGGGGCACAGCTCTGTCCACCAGCTGTAATGTCCCTCTGAACCCTGGAAAGGTCAGCTGCGTGGCCCAGAGGAGGGGGGCTGGAGGGGCTAGATGGAAGCGGACTTTTCTCACCCACTGCCGATGTGGCTCTGGGCAAGTGAGTCACCCCTTCGGGGCTCCTTTTGTCCCTCAAGAAACGAGGAGGCCAGGCAACTCTGCGGGGGCCAGACTGCCTTTCCCCAGCATCGCAAGGTTCGAAGTCACCAAGTAGTGGCTGCCAAGGAGCCCACACAGCTGCCCCTCTTCGTGGCCAGGCGCCCGCCACCATAGGAAGGGTTTGGAGCCACTCACTTAATCACAAAAAGAAACTGTTATTAATGATAGTGAGACGCGGTGAATAAGTGGGTCATGTCTAATAAGCCATTTGTGTTCAGGAGGAGAATACCAATTTGATAAAAGCTGTGTGTGCTGAAAAAGCCCAGAAATTGCTGTTTAGCAGATTGGAGCCTGATCGTTTCATTATTCCTGGGCTCCGCATGTCCTGAGCTGATTCAGGAAATGCGGCGGGGTTAGGAAGGTGTCTCCATGTCTGGTGTGGGGGCGGAGGCTGCAAGCAGGGGCTCCTGGGGAGGGGTCCACTGACTCTGACTGCTTGCTGGCTGCTTACCTCTCCAGCTCAATCTGAGCCGAGCCCGGCAGCCCAGCTAACGCCTTCTGCCTGCCCGACCAAGGGCTTGTCACAGGGAGCGCCTGTGGTCAGATGGGTCCTCAAGGACATCTGTCTCGCTTCCCATCTCCTTGTTACCTCCCTTCAGCCCACTTCACAGAGAGCTTTCTAAAGGCATGAAGAATGAATTGGGGAATGAATGGTTTTGCCTTTTAGGGAGGCATCGGGACTTTGGAGGCTGGGGTGGTACCGTCAGTGTCTGCTCAGTAAATAGCAGCTATCTTGAGTTTTCCTTATCAAAGAGGGTTAGATCACTGCCATGAGCACAGTAGGGGTGGGAGGAAAGGGAACTAACATTTATGAAACACCTACTGTATGCTAGGTGCTGCCACATCCTGCCAGTGTTAACTCACTGATGCTGACATTATTCACGGAAGGCTGGTGCTGGGCATAAGAGGATCTTGAGGTTCAGAGAGGACCAATGACTTGCCCAAGGTCGCTGAGTCTGTACCGAGAGCTGGAGGGCTGCGCCTAGAATAAAGGTGTGCCTGGCAGGTCTGGGCCTGCCTGCTTCAGGACAGCCTTGAGGTGGGCTTGGCAGGTCATGTGACAAGACTTGTTCCCCTGCACAGTTCCTACCAAGCACACCCGCTTCCAGCTCCCTAGAGGACTCGTAAGGCAGTGGGCTCCACCCAGAGGAACCAGCTGCTCAGAAAGATGTCAGGATCTTGCTGAGGCTACGGGCAAGTTAGACAAAGTCAGCTGGGCTGGACTCCTCCAGTAACCTTCCAGAACTAGCCCAAGGGAGAGGCCCAGAGGGGGTCTTTGTGAGGATCTTTGCAAACCCCCTGCCTTGGAATAAAGAGAGTTTATTAAATGCAGATCCAGGGTTTCCCCAGACCCATTGGCCAAAATGATCATTTATGGAACCCTGGAACCTGCATTTTAATAAACTTCCCAGATGATTCTCCTGCAGCCTGGAGTTTGGGAGCCATTGCCTTAAGTATTCACACATAGGGGCAGGAAATTGCCCAGTGCCAGGAGCTGCTGGTTTGGTCTGGTTTTGCAAGAGAGGGAGAGGTCCAGGCTGGAGTAGGTATGTGGACCCTGAGAGGAGCCCTAGGGAGCCTTATACTGCAACAAACATCCATCCTTCCACCCCGCCCTGCCACACACACACACACACACACACACACACACACACACACACCTAGGCCAGCACCTTCAATTATTAATGCACCCCAATGCAGACAAAGATCCTGACTTGGCCGGGCACTTTGTCCATTGAGTGATTCACTGTCCTGAGGTTCTCTCTGTTGCCAGGAGGGAGTAGTGGGGCGCTGGGGGAGGGGTGAAAGCCACTGGGCCATTTGGCAAACAGCCTATGTACTGAAAAATGACTGGCTTTCTCGTGTTCCTCGAGAACTGTTGGTATCTCGCCGTCAATAAGCTGGCTAGTTTGGTGGCTGGGAGATGGAGAAAATTGAATACTGTCTTCCGAAGGTTATGATGTTAAAAATGTGTCCGCCGTTGTCTTGGGTGTTAGTGATTATTCTATCAATTACACCTGTAAACACTCTGCCTTGGGCTGAGGGTTTCCTGGCGTCCTGTGGGGAATTGGCCCTCACAAACGGTTTTCCCCAAGTCCTTCACACCGATTGGCTTTGACACCTTGCCTATCAGCGGCTCCTGCGGCCTTTCCCCAAGCAAGGGGAACTGCGGGCGGCCAGCAGGATGGGGAATTCAGCTCATCACCATGGTGACAGTAGGGGTGTTGGGGAAATCTCCCACAAAGGGACAAGGTCAGGGTTGAGAGTGATCCCTTCCAACCCACCAGCTGCCAGGGCAGGAGATTGAGCACTTGGAATGAATCACCAAGGCTCAGACCTAGTCAGCAAGGCCCCTTGAACCATCTTCCTCAACCCCTTTCACAGAGGGGAAGACCGAGGCCATGGGCAAGAGAGCATTTCCCCGAAATTTCCTGGGCGGTATTTGACTTTTGGAATCACCTTATCCAAGTCTGTACAAATAGGGAGAGAAATACATGGAAGCAGATGTTTGAGTGTCATGGGAGGGCCTTAAATAGCCTCATCTCATTTGATCCTCAGAAGAAACCTAAGGGGGGGGGGGGGCTTTCCCTGGAAGGGAGGTTGGAAGGCTTGCTCAGGGCCATGCACGTAGCAAGTGTAGGAGCCTGGATCTGAACCCAGGAATGTGGCTCCAGAGTACGTGCTCACAGTGCTGTTGAGGCCCCCAGAGAGAAGGAGGGAGAGGTGGCAGGACCAGGGACCGTGGTGACCACGTTCTGCACTGGGTGTGGGAGGGGAGCAGCAGCGGCAAACCTAGACCCAAACCCTG